TGCCGCATCTCACGGGGGGAAGGGAGGGGGGAAGGGTGTGCTTTCCAGGTGGGATTTCCTGTTGTTTTTAGGGTTGCTGGGAGACGGATCATTTCTGTGTCTGTGATGTGCATCGTTGAGTTTCTTGTATCTTTAATAAATATCGGATTAAAATGCTAATGCTTATTCTTATTCCTTTTTTTCCTCTCCTTTTTTCTGTTTTTTTTCTCTTTTTTTGGTTTTGCAGTCCCTAGCCGCCGCCTTCGCGCTACAGCACGACTATTCGTTCTCCTCCCGGTTGGCATAAATGCCGGCTTCCCAGCGCAGCGCCAGAGCGCTCTTCCTCCGATTCACTCTGGTCGCCTCCAGGACCTGGTAAAGGAAGAAAAGCAGAAAACACCGTGTCACTCAGCCGCCCGTGGCCATGGCCCCAGCGCTGGGGCACCCCGTGCATCGTGTCCCCGCGTGGAGGAGGCTGCAAACTGGGGTTGCAAACCGGGGCTGCTCACGCGATGAAGCGCTTGCTGGTGGGAACGGCCCCCGGGAAAAGCCGTGGCCCTGGGGGGAGAGGGAGCACGTCACTCGTCCCTGCACCCTCGCCCTGGCCTCCTTCGGCAGCACCGGCTGCACAGACACCCCCGGAGCGAAAAGATCACCCCCTGCGCACGGAAAAGGGGGTTTGCACAAGGAGGGCCTCTGCAGGCTGCAGAGGCTGGCCCAAGGTGGGCCCTCATGAATTTGTATGTTTTCTGCACGCGTGCGCACGCGCGCACTCACACACACACACGCAAATATACACATATACTTTGATATGTATACATACTTACACATATATCTCAGTATAAACACACATACTGGATATACATGCTATACATATGTATATGATACATGCACAAAAACAACTGAAAAGAAAGTTGAAAACAGTTTAAATGTATGTTTGAAGCAGGAAAAAGAATTCTGACTAGAACAACAGGTGCGAGAGTGGGGAGTCTAGGTGCTGTGCTCCTCTGCAAATAATGAAGGGCAGTGGGTGTCCTGCTAGCAGGCATGCACTGGGGCTTCACACCTTGTCGAAGAAGCGCGCGGCAGTGGTATTTCCTGACCCGCACTGAAGAACGGACACACGATCAAAACACCAAGCTGCTCCAAAGCCCATTGCCTTAATGGGTTTTAAGCCAATCCTCCTAGAGGAGCAAACTTTGGAGATGTTTAAAGAGTCAATTAAAAAAAAAAAAACAACAGGAAACAAAGCCAAAGCTATCTGAGACTGTTCACTGAACGAATGTCTGTCACTTCAGGCCCCTAATGCTTCATACAAGCTGCTGCGCAACCCATTTTGCCTGACTGCAGGTGAGTGATTGGCTTTTGGGGAAAGGATGATGTTATTTCATGCCTGCGTGTAAAAAGCCAAATGCACTGAGGACTACAGTCTTGACTGGAATAAAAATAAAGAAAATAAATAAATAATGTAAGACTAGAGCTACCACATCTAATGCACAGCTGATGGGGGACGGGTAAGCAGAAATGGCCCTTTCGGCTTGTAATAAGCTACAGTCAAAAAAGTGGACAGGTACTACAGGCTCCTGTACAGGCCAGGCCATAATTTTCCTTGGGAATATGAACTTACTTCTGGATCTAACTTAAGGCCCAAACTTCCATTCAGGAGCTGAAGGTAAGGTGAAGTTTGGCCAGCTTTCTTACTTCTTTGTCTTTATTTTCTTTGCCTTCCTAGTTTCTTTTGACTCTGACCTTGAAAAAGCCACAGAACTAAAGGTAAAATTCAGCCAACAGAGATGATTTTAGTCTGAAGCTCCAGCTGTTTCCCCAGCACTAAGCAGGACGACAAAGCTGGTCCAGGTTTCCCAGAGGCGTAATTGCTGAAGTTTTGCTCAAAATCACGCTTTTTGCGGAGCTGCCGTGGGAAAGTGGGAACAGGCTTAAGCAGTTTTTATTTCATCCAGCAGAGGGCAAATGTGCCCGCAAATCTAGCACAAAGAAAAATCCTTCTGAGCCATCACCTTTCCAGCTGTGAACCGAAGCTACTCTAGGCGCAATACCAAGGACTGATGGTTTAAATTAAGTACCTGGGACCTTGACTGCCCAAATCAAGAAATGACAACAGGAACTGAACCTTTGAACAAAAGACTCAATCAGGAAACAAAATCGGGATTGGACATCACTGTATCATCTTCTTTTCTTCTTCTTCAGAAGAAAATAGAGTAGCTGCTCTAAGGTTGGCAATAAACTGGAAAAACACAGTAGTTTCTTCAGATGGCAAATAGGCGAATATTGCTGGGCAGCAGAACAGCAAGATCAGCGTGGCATAATGATAAAAGAAAATGCAGAAAATCCATTTTTCCTCCCATTGGGCATTGAAACATACGTGAAAAAATACCAAATTCAGCACAAATTTCAAACTGAAATTACCACTGTCACACACTAATGACATACTTAAATGATATCTGCTGAATTTGGCCTGTAGATTTAAGCTAGCTGAAAATAAAGTGGATTTTACATCATTTACAGCAGTTTCTGACCACTGCCTACTTTGGTGGAAACCACTGTGTTGCAAAAGTCTTTGATCCTGGTTTGAAACAGTGAAGAATCTGAAACTTTTTGCAGATTTCTGGTTTGGATCAGTCAACATTTCTTTGTCTTAAAAGGGAGAGTGACGGGAAAAAACACTTTCTTCCGTTAATCACCTGTCTCCCCTTGTGCCCAAAAGCTTGCCCACTCTGCAGACTTTACCAGTTGCTCCAAAAGCAGCTGTTATTTCTCATCCCAACCTTTCCTCTCCTTTCTTTTTAGATCATGATGGCTAAAACAGACTGCTATGATCGCTATAATGTTGTGAACATATTATATGGATTTACTTCCCTAACTTTTGTTACTTCCCTGCTGAGGGTCTGGGTGAAGATAACTCCTCTCCGCAAGCCCAGGGATGATGCTGCTGCCACCCAAGGGCAGTGCAGCTTGCCCCACGATGCAGCACCCACGGGCCCGGGGAGAGGATGCTGCCCCACATGCGCCGTGTTGCTGCCTGCACCATTCACCCCCCTGGGCTTGGTGCAGCGCTGACAGCCCACTGTGAAGGTGTTGAAGAGGGACTGAGCTTTTGCACGAAAACAAGTATTTGTGTCTGACTTACTATTACATATTAGAGTAAATGCTTATAAGCTAAAGATCCTTTTATATTAGCTACTCCAGAAGGCTTCTTTTAATTTACTGAAAGGAGTGTTTGATCTAAAACAGCCCCTATTCTTACCATTCCACTTCAGTTTTACACCTCTTAGAGAAAACCATGTGGCAACTGCAGTAGTACAAAACGGCAATGACTGAGTGGAGGATCAGGTCTCCTCAGCATAGCACTGCATTCATCTTCTAAGAAGTCACTTGCCTACAAGAGCGCTCTTTGATTTTCCTTCTGAAACGTTAGGCACATAACCACATGCCAAAGGTGCATACTGGAGATCAGAAATGGGAACAGACACGTCATTATGCTGTTCTCTGCATTTTATCACACGTCTGAAATGACCACTAAAATTGGCTCTTAAGCTCAGGCAAGATCCTTAGGTGGACTATTTACTCATGGTATCTCATAAAGGAAAGACCATGTCAGTGAAAAAAGCAATATGTGATATAAAACACGTCTTATAAGGGCGTAGCAATTTGACTCTCAGTTGCATTGAAAGAGGAAGAATTTGAAGATCAGAAATAAGCGTGAAGGAGAGACCAATATACCAAAATATACAGAGCTGTGAAAACTGTTCTTTGCCTCCCTTTGTGAAAAACTGATGTGCGGATCTTGTGGCTGCGACTCTGGGTTCTTGCTAGGAATTACAGAGGGCTCCTTCTTGACAGATTTCATTTAAGATACTGAGGATTTGAAAAAGAAAAGCCTGAAACAGCCACTATAGCCAGGCTCAAGATTAATCTATCTATCCATTTGAGAGACAGGGACCAGTCTCTCCTGAGTTAACCCATTTCTCTCCAACAGATGTAACCATAGTTACTCTCTTACTAGTAGCAAGTTATTAAAAAGTAAATCAGGGATATGCTTTATTCCGGAGCATATTTATCCTGAGCAGCTGATGCCCAGGATGGAACTTAGTACTACGCAGCACAAGTAATTTTTATTTAATAGTAGCAGCAACAGTGATGAGAAGCAAAATGACGTTTCTGGAGCCTAATATTTTACTAATGCTTCCCATTCAGATCTAGAAGAAACTGTGAGCAAAGGTTAAAAAAAAAAAAAAAAAGGCTGAGTTTCTAAATTCTACCAGTTCCCCAAAAATATTGCACCAGACACCCTCATGGAAGCACACAATACACAAAAAAACAGAAACACAAATGTAGGAAACAGACTGACTGTTCCTGTAGACATGACCAATCCTTCTCAGTAACAAAGAGCTAAACGCTTTAACAGACAACTAAAACTACTGCAGAACAAATAATATCTATTCCTTCACTATAAAGATATTTTCTTTACTGTACCTGCATAGTGCTAATCCCTGGAAATATTGGAAATTTAGTGAGCATAGTGAGGAGCAGGGAGTGTGAAACAAAAATGTATTTATCTGAATATAAACCCCGTTATTGCTGCTGCTGGTCACTGTTAGAACATAAACTAAGTGTCTTCTGCCATCAAATATAGTCTGTTGGTTTTCTATTTCACAGTGCTTACATTTTCAGCAGTCACTTTTAAAAATTCCATAAATATTACTTTACCCTAATATCTACTGCAATGTGGTGGGCATAAAGTAAACTCAGGATAATGCCTGGTAAATTTAAATATAATTATAGTTTTTAAGACAGAAGTAGAAGACCTTAGGGATAAACACAACGTGCATATGTGCAGGCATGCAGGTCTCTCTAAAACAATAAAAGGATGTGCTTTTTAACACCGGCTCCGAGACTTGTAAGATGATAAACCACATCAGACGAATGAAGTAGTAGCACAGAGGAGTGTGGTTTCTGGGCATCCAGCTTAATTTCGGACGCTGCTATTCATTACTGCTGCCTGGCCGCGCGTACGAGCGGAGGTACATGGGACTGACCACACGAGAGCCCCTGCCCACCGCCAGCCGCGGGGCTGCCGACGCTGATCACCGCGCAGCTCGCTAAAACCCGCCTGGCCTGCAGCGGGG